AAAAATTTTATTTCTTAATTTAATTATTTCAAAATTTCAAAAAAAAAATCCATCTTATCGTTAATTCTGTATATAAAATTGTAAGATCGATCCCAATCTCAGGTCCATCTTCCACGTTGTCATCGATCGATATAAATCGATCATTATCGGCCATGTCATAAACATGGAAGACAATCGATCTCCCTCCTTTGATCGCTGCTTATCAATCGATGACTCGCTGTGTACACGATCAGTTTCCGGGTGACAATTTTATCAAGCAAACGGCCGATGTGCCTCGACTTTCAGTGCACAGTAAGCGACACGAAATCGGCCAGCGGAATAGTCATGAAATCGGACCGTCGCTACGTGCCGATTGGACTTTGAGCGGTCAAAGATTGAATTGAGATGGTGGACAAGAGAAGACCTCCTTCTCTTAGTGCGAGATATATTAGGTCACAGATATATTGTGGTCGTCCTGCTGCGAGGATCGTTTTGTCGGTTGTAACGCGTTCAATCGGTTGTTCGGAATATTAAGCAGAAGGATGTCGTTTGAGTTGGATGTGACGTTGCCGGGACCGGAAGCGATGGCTGTCGCTGAGAAGGAGCTCCGAGAGACTGAAGGGAATGTGAAGGAGGGACTCGCTGAATTGAGAAAGTATCTCGAGGGTGAGTTTTTTTTTTTTTAACTAAGTTCTTTCAATCTTTTTCTCGACTTTTTTTGATTTATGTGATATCCAGCTCAAACATGTTACAATCTCGTAAAAGAGAATGCATCATTCATTTCATTTTGAGATGTTTTTATATAACGAGCGCGAGTTCGAAAGTGAAGACAGTTTTCTTTTCGAAAATGCTAATAAATCATGATAGCGTGTAAAATATGAAAAGTTTCTCGTAACTGAATGTACAATGAATTCAACTATTGAAGTCTTCCCTTTGCTTGATGTACAATGTTTTTCGCTATATTCTATTGAACTTTGAGTATTATGTGAAAAGGAATTCTTTATTATTTCAATACTTAATGTCCGAATGTCAACGCGAGTAACTATATTTATTTCTACGTTTCCTTTATTCTTTCTTTAATGTGTGAATGTGCAATTATAATTCTGTTTTTAATTTCCGGATTTTTGAGGTCTTTTCCTGAATTTTGATACTTCAAGTTTCTTTTCTTTGTATAATTCCGTCGTTACATTCTTTCTTCGAGAATTTACAGATTTCCTCGTAAGTTTGAAATAAATTGCAGAAACAATGTACAGAAGCTCTAAGATTACCTGTGCTTCGAAATTTTTATCTTCGTGTCAAAATTTGCATTTCTTATAGAGAATAAAATATTGGATATGCAGTGTTCAACTAAGTACAGTTTTCTTTTATATAAAAAATGGAAGATTACGTACCTCAGATATATATTTTTTTAGTAATCGATATTATATATCGATGAAAGCGTTTTTTTTTTTTCTATCTATTTGCGATCATCAGTACTCACAAACAAGTAAATTACACTCTGATATCATCTTACGCACCTGTGAACAGTAATGTCCGATAGTATTTACATATTCAATCAACACTCCAGGTTCTTCAATAAATGAAATCAGTTGAAGACATTTTCTACTACATATCGCTGTTTGTTGTTTTGCTGTCGTATTCACTGTCGAAAAATTATCTTATTTTTAAGAATATCGCTAATCGAGCGGGATTATGTGTATAACAAACAGATAGCTCGTAAGAAATACTAAAAACATTTTATAAATGATAGTCGATTCATTTTCAAATTCATCCTTTGTTCTAAATTTTTTTTTGATAATATTCTGAGTCATGTAATCTACACAACAGTGACATTTCTTCTTTTGTATACTTGTGGACACATCTTGCACGGTGATTAATGTCTTTTATTACCATGGCATGTACAGTAAAGACGCGATATTTGAAATACTTTCAGTTTCAACGTAGATCGACAAATGTCTCAGATGAATCGCCGAAAGCCTTTAACAAAAATCTTCAAGTTCAACGCATAAAAAAAGTCAGTGTAGAGAAAGTAATTGCAAACGACTTTTAATAGCTATGGATATTCTGTATCAATCACAATACATGTAAAAGAATTGTGAATGATTTTCAAATTAAACTGTAATAAATCTCTGAACGTGTATAAAGTTGTAAAAAAAAAAGAAAAAAAACTGAATGAATAATATTTGGAGAATTGAGACGACTCCAAGTCAATTTCGAATGTATCAGAATATTCACTTACAGTCACGCTCGCGTTTCCGATAAGAGTTTATCTCCGCGGAGTACACAGTAGCCTTTCGATTTCTCGTTTAAAACGCAGCGTTTCACTATTTTTTAACATCGGTAAGTAGCGAGCGCAAACAACCTGCAGCTATTCGGATAAAGATGATCAGAGGTTACAGATAAACCGATCGATCTTAAATCCTTATTGATAACGTTTCGAGCCTTGACCTTAGACGTCGGAAGAAAGCAGAGTACATTCAAGATAAGATTCTTGTTGCACTGGCGTAGAATCGTATATATTGATAGCACCAAGAATAATGTTATAAATATGATGAGCAGTGAGAATGAAGGAATCTAATCTTTTACGTTTTATAAACTTTCTTTGCTAGATAGTTCTTCTTGGCTTCAAAACTAAGGAAACGTGGAATTTTATTATTTTATTCATTTTAACGATCTTCTTCGTTGTTTAATTTAAAGTATTTTTCTATTTCTATTCTGTGAGATTTTAAAAAACTGCGTATGCTGAAATATTTTCTTCTCTTATAGTTGGTCGAAATTACAATATAAATGATATGGAATAGTTAAACAATAAATGATTTCTAAGTCGTTTCTTGCATTTACATGATCTTTTTTTCTTTTTTTTTTGTTTTGAATAAATATAATTGCACTTTTTGACGTGCATGATTTATAATAAGAATAATTTAGCATAACTTGTATTTTACTCAGCTATTATGTAGTTGGAGTTTGAGTTCTTGTAATTACTAAAGAATAACAAGGTTTGAAACAAAAGGTAAGTTTGAAGTGTTTGGTCAAAAATGTAATTCCATGGCATTTATTGACATTAAGAGTTTCTGAGATTTAAAATATGTCGTGCAAATATAACATGCATGTCAAAAAGACTTTAAAAAAAATTTTATTAATGCCAGTTAACGCAGTCTAGACACTGAAATAAAATTATATTCTGGCT